GGGCCGCCAGCACCATGGCAAGATCCAATCGTGCGCCTTTATGGTGTCACCTGGTCTCGTCAGGCTCGGGATCGATCGAAATGGAGAAGTTGCCAGCTGCATCGATGGCGTGACACCAGAGATCGATGAAACAACAACTGTTCAAGGTATTCAAGGTATTATATTTATGCGCTAAATTTGTTATTTTTCAGGAAAAAGTGTGCAATTTACAAAAAGCAGCAAATCGAGAAATTCGCAAGGCGAGAAGAAAGAAGTTCGGGACGGGCGGCGCATTAAAAAAGGTAATTTGTTTTTCGCTTTTGACCGAGGGATAATTCTTGACTTCTGTTTGTTTAATTCAAATATTTTTTGCTAAAATAATTCGATTCAAATGTCTCAAATGCTTCGGGTCGAACGCTTCATATGTTTTCAGTTCTCTTTTTATTGAGCCTTTGAATTTAGTTCTAATGGATAAGGCATCTGACTACTAATCAGGGGATTGCAGCTCCGAGTCCTACTAGGTCGCTGTGTTGTCGGACGCAGCTCGCGCGAAACTTTAATCACGTTAATAACAAAATATTATAAATCAACAAAAAAACCCAAAGGAGCAGCCCAGTCCAAGAGCGAAGCAGGGGAGAGGGGGGCGGGGGAGGGAGGGAGGGAGGGGGGGGGCCCTGTGCGTACAGCACTGGGGACGATCAGTGGGCCAATACTGTGTACTAGGGAGGCACATTGCGGGTGCCTAAACGGTGTGTGAATAATATTAAAGATTTTTTAAAAGATACACGTTACACGGGCAAAAGTATAGATCACTGATATTTTCTACCAACGTAGGAGACGTCCATCACAAAATGATTAGATTCAGATGCCTCAACTGCTTTGAGTCGGATTAGATATTGTTCTGTGAACAAAGCTAGATTAAACAGTAGTGCCAGGAGTTACTTCTTTTATTTTTGCCCTTATGCACTATTAGCATTACTGATTTAGTGCGATTTACTGGTCGGCAGTACTGTCGCTGGCTAGGCCAGCATCATTGTTTTTAGTGCGTTTTTTACGAGCAAAATTGCAGAATGTCTGTCTAATGTGTGCATTTCTTGCTTTCCCCAATAGCCACTGTCTCGTTACTTTAATTTCGACTTCAATAATTTTTTTGAAGGCTTTAAACTTTTTATGCATTTTTTGCAGCTATGCAATGCAAAAACGCATATTCTCGAGGGGTTGTCTGTGTATGTGTGTCTGTGTGTGCGTTTGTAACGAGTTTTCATCTCGGGACCCACAAAAGCTACAAGGCTGAAAATTTGGTGACTTAATCTGCACTCACGTGCGGACTTGTATCCTAAAAATGGACGCTCAGTTCCGCGTGGTTCTCACGTAGGGGCACGTGAAATTTTTTTGGCGGGAAACTGTTTCCGGAAACGGCCTGTGCTAGGAGGCTGGAACTTCACAGAGTTGTTCCTTGGCCGCGTCTAATCCAAAGATTTCAAACTCAGCCTTCAGCACTCCCACGTCTCACGTACGCTCACGTCAAAGTTTAAGCTGGCATCATGCCAACTCCAGGTCTAAGCTGACCGATAAGCTGCAGGGAACCGCAATTTTGTAGCGTTACTTGCCGCCCACTGTTGTGCCCGTGAAACTAAATTGAGTTCTCCAGCCCTTCTGCATTTCACGTACGAACACGTGAAAATTTCACGCACGCGCTTTTGTAACTTCAGGATTGAACCAGCCAGAGGACCTGGTCTTTCTGAGCATAACCAGCGGTGACCTTTGACCAAACGCACGTAAAAACGACTTACACATCAATTTCACATGCACGTACATTTCACGTGTACACATGTGAAATTTGACGTAACTCTGCAACCAGAGTAGCTGGAGTGCTGAAACTTTCTGAACGCTACCCATGACCGTGTTTGAGCAACTGCGGGCGAAGAAAGCATTCACGTTGCCACTCACGTACGAACACGTCAAATTTGACGTAACTCTACAACCGGAGCATCCAGAGCGCTAGATTTTTTGGGCATGGATTAGGAGTCATTATAATAATTTCCAACAGTCGTGGTGGCCAGTCCCAATTCTTAGCCAGAAGCATCTGCCAGGAAGAACGTGTTACTGGCGAAAAAAACCTGCGAGGGAAACTGTGCAAAAACGCATCCTCGTACCGGCAGCCGGTACACTTTCTCCTAAGTTATATCTTTTTATTTTTTATTTTTTTAATTTTTTTGAAATATTTTTTTAAAATTTGAATAACTTTTATATTTAACCTACGTTTGAATTAAAATTTAAAATTTACTAAAAAGTTTAAGTAATTTTCTAATTTTGAATGTTTTTTTAAATAATTAAGTAATTTAAATAATTTTTAAAAGATTTTAAGTAAAATTTTTTAAAATTAAAATTTAAAGAATTTAAAATTTATCTCCAAGAAATTTGAAATTTTTTATAAAAACTAATATGCTGTCACTGCTGGAGACGTTTATTTTTGATGGATCGTGAGGTTGTATTGAACATATATAAAGCTACCCTCAGGATTTTATTTGCTTTTATAGTACAGTACGAGTATTCAATGCTTCTATAGTTGTACCATATAACGCCAGCACTGCAACATTGTTGTAGGATGCTGCTGCTACTGCTGCTGCGGAAAAATTACCAGAAGGAGCAGAAGTGATGCTTAAAGGAATCGACGACGAAACAGCGGATATGAATGATGTTCCAATGGATGAAGGCTGAAAACGTATTCGAGCAGCTGCTTGAATCTTAGTCGCAAAATGCGAAATTCCACTCAGTTTTTGTGCATAATTTATGGTTTTGCAACATTCAGGAAGCAGCTATACTCACTTCTGCAGCACATTCATTTGTCCATTTACGAACTTCACAAAAATCAGATGTTTTGAACATAAAATTTATGATTTTTCACTCCTCTACGGATTGTTAATGGTTGTGCTTTGCCCCTTTGTTATACTTGAAATAAGCTGAGGCAAGCGATAAATCCAGCTAGACAGAGGGCAGTTTTTTCTATGGGAAGTTATTAAACTACATGCCATCGTTACTGCATTTCCGTATCCAGCTATCACTGAAGGGACGGGGGTTGACCCCCTTCGCTTTTGACGTGACGGAGGGAGCAGCCAGCACGAACTGAAAATGAGGAATTTCATCTCAGAAATAAAATCCAAGAAAAAGATCCCTTTTCTAAAGCTTAGACCACTTTTCTAAAGTTTGAGGTAAATCATAGGGAAGAGGAAATTGTCTCCCTTTTCTGCTTTGACTACGCTTTGTTTAAGCGGAGTGTAGCATCTAGGTTAACCGTGGAAGCGTAACTGGCGAAGGTGCGATAGAATATGGAAAGAAAGAACAGTATCAGAAGAGGAGGTTAGAGTGAGATAAGGCGTTCTGGTCCATTAAAACACATACGTCTTAACTCGATACCGTGTCAGTATGACGGTCGCAGTGTCTAACGAAGAAAAGTGGAAATAAAAGAAAGGGAAGAACGAAGAAAAGTGAAATAAAAGGGAAGATAATGGGAATAACAGAAGTATGAACGGGGTAAGAAGGAGCAGAAAAAGTATAATATTAATCTTGTGATTAAAGTTTAAAAAGGTCAGAAAAAGATCTAATATTCGCTCGTCAGCTTTTCTGTTTCAAATTATTTTCTCCTTGCCATCTACTTTACGTGTTTCTCCGAGTCGTACTTGTTTTGCTCATTTCATTTTTCACACTGTTTGCCTCACTTGAAAATCTAGCAAATGTCTTCCTAGTTTGATTTCCTTCCGAACAGGTTGTTAGTAAATTTTTTGGCAGCAAAAAGTGAACAGATTAATCTGTAATTTGGAAGTATTATTCTCGGCAAATAAAAAAAAATTCTATGGATTATCTGCTGCATTTTTCGGAATTGGAAGATCCATGATCCTGGGAGAAGGCGTAATATGTGCTGCCCATACAAGTATTTCCCAAAGCGGGTGCCTTGTAAATTACTGCTAATTTTTGACTGTGATATTGGCTCCGCTTTGACTAGCGTGCACATGATTGTTCTCGTAGATTCCGTGATACTCCGCCGACTTTCACATTTCTTTTTTTTTTTCTTCTGCTCGTATTATTCTTGCATACTCTGTTTTGTTGTTTGTTTTACATTTACAAATTAAATAAGTTTCTAAATTTTATAACTGCATCTTTGACAGCTTGCATAAAGCCAGTTCAGCCGCGTCATTGATTAGAGGGGTGGAGGGACGCACTCCAGATTTCATATTTATTAGAAGCAAACTGAGTGCCCAACGGATCTGGGGATTTTTCATAGCAAATAAAAAGAAATGAACTAATACTACTAAAAGTGGGATAGGCGCCATCACCTGTGCTGGTTCTGCAGAGCATCTCGGAAAAAGCTGGAAATACCGGCGGTTTTTATGCGTTTTTGCATGTGCAATGCATGAACGCATTTTATCATGACCCGTGGTTTGCCTGTGTGTGTGCGTATGCGTGTCTGTGTATTTGAGTGTAGGTGTGTGTGTTCCGGGTATTTCAACTCGGCAACCAGCAAGCTTCGGCGCGGAAATTTTACTGATGGTTTCTTCGGCCAAATGCTGCTCCAGGACTTTGTTACCAATCTTCATACATGTCTGGGACTCGCGTACGGGCAGACGAAAGTTTTATTGGGAAAATCGCTAACTTGGGAACCGAAAATCAGGGAGATTGGAATTTTTAGGGAATGTTCCTAACTCAGGATTTCAAATTCAGTGAAGGTTTCAAATTCAGTCCTCGGATGTGCGAGGTCGTGGCGTATGGGTCTGTGAAAGTTTCCGGTAGGAGAATTGCTCGCTAGTCAGATAGTCCACTTTCAAAAACCGACTGTTAAACTGAGTTTGTTCATTTTCTCTTTATGCAAAATTTGCAGTGATTTACGCTAGTGAGCGCATAAGGAAAGTGTAAAGCAAAAACCATTCATACAGTTAAGACCTGGTTGCTTCAGGTGTAGTGCAAAAACGCGTGATCGCAGGGGCGGCCTGATGCGTTTCAGCCTAATTTACTATCTCATTTTGCCGTGAAGTCTGAAATTTTTCTTAGATTTTCAGATTAGTTCTAATGAGTGATGATCCTGACAGTGACAGCAGTGAAAACACTGCAAGTCGCAAAACGTCGTTTACTGACAGCTCATCCAGGTCATCCTCCGAAGCGCAATCAGCAAATAGAAAAGATCTGAAATCTGACTCCGATAACGATGCAAAACTGAATTATGGAACAGATAAGGAAGAGGCGTTATCCGATGATGCTATGAACTATGAATCCGGCAAGAATTCGGCTATATCTGGATTTGAAAACGACAGCGTTGAGGAAGATGACCAGCGGTCGCAGTCAACTACAGAGAGTGACGAGATCCCGGAACTGGTAGATGATGATGATGATGACGGGCAAGATGATGGTCAAGAAACGCAGGATGATGAAAACTCAGATGAGGAGATATCCGACGAGGCAGATGAGGAGTTCATCAAAAAGCAAATTGAAAAATTGATAATTCGACGGAATAAAAAAGATAACGAAGCTCGTTTGAGGTAAGCAAAAAAGTAGGCAGGACTCAAAGCGCTGCACCTCTCACTCGGGATTAGGCCTTGGGGTACATGAGTGCATAATTTTTGTTCAATGTATAATGTAGTATTTGTTCATGACTGTCTGAAGCAACAAATTTAACATTTCCAACTTTCGACGTCTGGAATATTTTATGGAATTTTTTTAATAGCCCAAAATTGAGGGCCTGAAACGCCTGCCGTTGCCGCTTGCAGACTGATTACCAGGGTGATGCAACGTTCGACAAATCAAGTTGAAAAGTTGAAAGGCAAAACTGTTAAATGCAATTATTCAGGGTCATCTCTCGATTTTACAACTGACTGTAACTTAATGAATAAGTCACGCAGTTTTTTGCACAGTGAAGAACCTCAAATCCACTGTAGAGGAAAAAAGATTAAAGAACAGTAGGAGTCCAAGTGGATATGCGTTTGGGCGAGTGCTTATACTAGCATATGGGTGGATGCGCCAGTACATCCCGCTGGGCACTAAGTTTTTGATGCTTTTTTGCATGTCCAGCTCAGTTCAAGTTCTCGCTTATTGCCCTCTGCAGTCCTTATTTGCATTACTAGATACATTGGACAGGATGGAGC